ATTGCCTACAGATGGGCTTTGGGTCCCCAATCTGCACTTGCCCTCATTATCAATGATAGATTTTTTGTTCCTTGATGCCTGATACGTGATCCCTTTGACACCTCGTGGTCACACAGGCTGATGTGCTTCTTCCATGTGGGCTTTGTTGCTTCTGAGCTAGCTGGCCGACAGCATCTCCTTAATGGAGTCAAAGCCTCCATTCTTGTCTCCATGAGGGCTTCAAACTGTTAACCTGGTAGCAGCTCAACAGATGACCACTAGACCAGCAGAGCACGAGACTACAGAAAAGGACAGCAAATTCTGGAACTAGATTTGCGGAGGGACCATAGGCCTGACACCCAAACCGGACACAGACATTGCCAAACAATTCACGCCGTCCACCATGTAAGCAAAACTATGTGGTCACACCAACTGATGCACGAAAGGCTTCTGACGAAATCCAACATCCATGACTGGCTGTTGGGTCCCAAGTGCTGACCTTCCCGTTAGCAGCCCAGTGCTTAACCACTGAGCCACCAGAGCTCCTTAGAAACAGTCCCAGGGTCCTAGCAAAGGAGGGACCAGTCAAAGGTCCTAGCAAGGGACACTTCCATCCTCTCTGCAAGTCCTTTACTTTCATCACAGAGATGACCGGCTTACTGGAGGTCTGGGCAGCGGTGGGTGGAGCACTTGGTGCCTGGGATCTGGGCAAGACTTGGCTGGAGAGACCCCTTCAGTGACGATGGAATCACCAGGAGACCCTTACTCAGGCCCTAGCATCGGGGGGCGGGGGGTGGGGGGGGGCTAGGGGAGCTGGGGGCTGGGCAGGATTGAAGAGGGAGGTTGTGGGGAACTGTGGCATCGGTGTTAATGACATTCCTTACTCTAGTCATTAGAGAGAGGGATTAGAATGGGGAAGATAAATACTTTGAGCAGTCATTAGAAAGGAATAAGGAAGGCACTAGTGAGCTGTATTCCGGGATAGAACTAAGGCTGAGACTTAAGGGGGGTGGGACTTAGGTTCAATGATGCTTGCACACCTGGCAGGAGGACTGTAGGTGTGGTGCTGTCAGGAAACTGGTGGATTAATAATAATCACATATTGCATTTGCATAACATATTCCCATACATTTTCTGATAGGTATCATTGCCCAAGTCGATGTCAACTATTGGAGCTCCCAACATCTACAGACATTTCACACGAGACAATAGACTCCAAGAAAAGTGGAGTGAAAGGATTGTGCCCAGTGGCTTAGAGAGGGCTAACAACAACTGGCTTCCATTGAGTGCATGCTGACTCATAGCGCTCCCACCCCCACCCCCACCCCCCACCCCCCGTGGGTTTCTGAGACCGTCACTGTTTATGGGAGTAGAAAGTCTGTCTTTCTCCTGTGGAGCTGCTAGTGGTTTCGAACTACTGACCACGCAGATCGCACCCCAACATGTAACCACGACAACACCAGGGTTCCTTTAGAGAAGTCTAATCTTTTGACTCCTAGGCCAGTGCTCATCCAGCTCTGGGAGAGAGATACTTTCCATAGAGAGGGGTGGGAGCCAGAGACATTTGCTGGCCGAAGGCGTCGAGCAGGAGCGACCAGGAGAGAAAGCTGTGCCGGCATGGGGAGATGGGCTGGGCTCTCCCTGTCACAGGTCCCGCTGGCTGAAGACCCCAGCAATTCCACTCCGGTGCAGATACCCAAGAGACACGAGTGCAGTAAATTCCCCAAAGACAGGCCAAGAATGCTCATAGCTTTATTCTCAGTCATCACAAAAACAAGAAATAAGTCAAATGTCCATCGACAGAACGGATAAATAAAGTGCGGTCCATCTGTGTCCCAGAAGACTACTGTGAGATACAAAGGGGGAAACTGTGTGTACAGCCCTGTTCATGAGTCACAAAGGCCTCCCTCACTCTGCGGAGTGACAACGGCCAGCCTGAAAGGAGCACATTCAAGATGGCCCCACTAATGTGGAGGAAGGGGGGCAGAGCCGTGGTTGCCGCTGTGGAGCTGGGGAGACGGATTGGGAAGGGGCCCAGTATCTGCAACGTGAAAGCCAAGCTCTTTAGGGCAGCGTCGATGGGCGCAGGAAATGGATGGGCCTTGAGCAGAGTGTGGATGTGACTTCCAGAGCTGGCTCCTCGGTGCGATGACAAACGGCCCTGGTTTGCAGGGACATGAGACTTTCGGTGCTAAAACCAGGAGAATCCTGGGAAAACTGGACTGCGGCTCACCCACTTCCTAGGGCAGAGATCACTGAGAAGAGGTGACTGGCTGGCTGGGAGAGAGGCTGCTCCAGAAAGCTCAGAGAGGGGCTGGCCCCAAGGGCAGGTGGCCGGCATTGCTGGTCAGCACCAGGAAGGTCAGGGCTGGGGAGGCATCTTTGTTCCTCCTCTGAGTCCCTGCCCCTCTAGGAGCAGGGAAGGTTGGGATTGGGGCTGCTCCCTTCTGGAACGGGAGTTAAAACATCTTTGGAGACTGAGCTGAGACTGTCCAGTTCTGCCCATCGCGGCTTCTGGGCTCGGCTCCCATGGGATCCTCTCTCTAAACCTTCTCTTTGCATCCAATATCGGACCCCCATCCTCTCTCAAATGTCTAGGCCAAGAAAACTAGATTTGGGGGCTCATGGGAGGCAGGCACGATTGAATCTCTTCACCTTCTCCCCATTTTGCTCATAACCACCTCGTGTGACCTGAGCCAGGGGTTCTTCTCTGCTTTCTCAGATCCTGGGGCAGAGAGGCAGGGAGGGAGGGGCTGCCTCAGCTCTCCAGCTGGGGTTGCTGGTAGACTCAGGCAGAGCAGTCGCTGGCAGGACTGTGCAACTTGGGTCGCAGAAGGGAGGAGCGGTGGGTGCCGGTGCTGGGAGCAGAGTGGGAAGGTGCCTCAGAAGTTCTCAAAGTGGTGCATGAAGTGGACCTGGTCCTGCCGGTTGATGAGCTGGCAGGCCTTCTCGACATTCTTGGTCATGCCAGGAGGGCCGCAGCTGAACACCCCAACCTTCCGCACCTGTCAGGTGAGGGGAGAGGCCCTCCACTTTAGGTACTCGCTCCCCAGGAGGAAGCAATCCTCAGACCTGGCTGAGGGGGGCGGGGTTGTGGGGGGGGGGTGCAGCACATCCGCTCCAGGCCCTTGGGGGGGGGCACCTTAAGTGGCAGCGCTTTCCCCGGGAGCTCTCCTGGGAACCCCATCTTGTGGACTGTGGGTGGGGAAAGGCCGAACGCATGGAGGAGGGCTGACCTGGGGGTGGACCTCCTGCAGGGAGTTGAAGAAGCGTTCAAAGGGGGGGCGGCCAAAGTGCGTGATGGAGTGCAGGCCCGTGAACAGACTCCGGTTCAGCACCTTCTGGAAGTGCCGCTCACAGATGTACTGGGGGATGGGGAGAAGATGGGGAGGGGCGGTCATGTCGGGTACTGCCAGGTCCAGCGTCCAGCCCAGACGGTGGCGGGCCTTGACGCACCAGCATGGTGGTCCTGAGGTCGAACTTCTCGGCCAGCTGCGTGATGTAGATGTGCACCGACACCAGGTCCTGGCGGTCATTCTCCTCCACCTCCCGGATGATGTCGGCCAGCCACTCGAACTGCCGCTGCGTCCGCGTCACCCAGATGAAGTAGATCTGGGGACACGGGACACGAGGCTCCAGCATGGGACCAGGCTCAACTTTCATCTGGGAGGCTCGAGGACCCCGCACCCCGCACAAGACACCCCGCCTCTGGCAGGACGCTCTGAAGCCAAAGCTTCTCACCAACAGATGCTTTGTCGCCCCCGCCCCCCCTCAGACACTGGTTCTGGACAGCTGTGGGTGAGAGGTCTTCAGAAGGCCCCACCAGAGGGAGCCCAGGCCGTGTCCCCATGCTGGTCTGCTGTGACATAGGAACACACTCTGGGCCACCCGTCCCCATGACTTTGAAAGGGGGCGGGACACTCACCTTCTTACAGAGCATTTGGCTGCCCAGAGAGGACTTGAAGACCAGGTCTTTGAGAATGGACGCAAAGGGGGTGACCCCAATGCCCCCTCCCACCAGCACGGACACCTCAAACTTGTGCCACTCCTGGTGGCCCTCTCCAAATGGGCCATCGAGGTACAGCTGCAGAGAGGAGGAGAGGGGAGTTGTGCCGGCCCTGCCCTCACGCGGAGGCCAGAATGGAGGGGTCATAGGAAAGGAAGGTGCAGAGACATCTCATCTTGGTTCAAAGCCCTCTTCTCGCTCCCAGCCTGGCCCAGGGGTAATTGGAGCTTCTCGTTTTAGGATGAGAGAGGGCAGGGACCCACCACCCATGCCTAAGGCCCAGTCACCAGATTCCCAGGGGTGGACCCGGCACCTTTGGGTATCTGGCACTGCCACCGCCCGTTGGGGGTGAGTAGATCTCCCTGAGGCGGGTGGTCCAGGGCCCCGCGGCCCGGATGTGCAGGCTGAGTGTGTCCTCGTGGGGGGCGGAGGTGAGCGTGAAGGGGTGGTACTCGGTGGTGCCCAGGGCCAGGCAGGCGATCCGCACCCACTGCCCTGACTTGTACTCAAAGCCTTGGGGCCGCTGGAACCGCAGGTGGGTCACTCCTGGGGAGGGGTGGGGCGTGGATTAGAAAACCTGCTTCTATCACCTTCGGATTACTGGGCACACTTCCCTCTCCACATGCCCACAGCACAAGGGAGGGGACTCGGGATCTGAGCAAGGCGCCACTGCTTCTCTATTTCCTGGCACCCAAGAGCAGGTTTCTGGTCCCCATCTCACCCCTCCACTCCTCTCTGCACCCCCTTCAGCTGGACCCTGCCAGCTCCAGAGAGCTCAGCTTCCCCATGGGGTTCTGGGCTCCCCAGGGGCTGTTCATGTGTCTCAAGTGGAAGGCAGCACACGGTCTTATCAAGTTTGAGCTGATCTTTCCTGCCTAGTCACAGCCAAGCCCAAGGCCAATGCTCTCCATGTTAATCAGAGAGATTGGGGAGGCTGGAGCTAGCAAGCCACACACCGACACTCGAGGTGTCCATAGGGCACTCTTGGTGGAAATGACATTGAAATGAGGTTGATTTTTTTGCTCTTGGACACTTAAGCCTGGTCATCCACTTCCAAATAATCAGCCACTGAAAGCCCCAAGGGACACAGGTGTACTCAGACACGCATGGAATCTCTGAAAGCCAGGGTGGCCTTGGTGGCAACTGGTGACACTTAAAAAACGATCTCCTGCCACGCTCCACAGGGAGCCAAGTGCCTGCCTTGGCCAACACTCGGCTCTCCCACCTTCTGGGCCATGTTTCCCCGTCTTGGAAGCAGGCTATTCGGAGAGGATTACCCAAACCTACTGCCATCGAGTTGACTCCAGCTCACAGAGACCTTGTGGGGGTTCGTGAGACTCTACATCTATCTCTACGGGAGGAGATGGCCGCCTTTCTCCTTTGGGGTGGCTGCTGGGTTTGGTACCACAGATCTTGCCATTAGCCACTCAAAGCCTGAAACTACAATGCCACTAGGGCCCCTTAAGAGAAGATAAAAATCCCAAACTAAACTCACTGCCGTCGGGTCGATCTGGACCCATGGTGACCCTACAGGACAAGGTGGTACTGCCTCTGGGGGTTTCTGAGACGGTGCCTCTTCCCGGGAGCAGAGACCTTTGTCTTTGTCCTGTGGGTTCCAACCGCTAACCTGTGGCCAGCAGCCCAACACGGAATGCCTCTACCACCTGGACCAATAGGAAGGGATATAAGGTTGGTGCACTACTCTGGCCACCTAGGTGGAGGGTCTTTGGGGACCTTGAGCCCCTCTGCCTGCCCTGTCAGCGGGCTCATCCACAGCCACTGCTCCCTGCCAGCAAGCCTTCCCGGGGGGCTGTGCAGCCTTTTCCGTGGCTGCATTCCCTCCAGGAAAGCCTCGGGAGCCCAAGAGGCTATCAGGGTCTGTGATGGGATCGGACGGCTCGGGGAGCTGTCTCCCCAAGTTCCAAGGGTTGACCTCCAGGACTCTGCACCTGTAAGGTCAAGCCAGGACCTGGTACCTGACGGCAGCAGCTCTGCCTTCACCACGCTGATCTCCACCTTCTTCCGGCTCAGGCTCACCAGCTTGTCCCCCGCGTAGATGAGGGCCGGGACCAGGAAGAAGATGTGGAATCGGGGCATCTGAACCAGTGCCAAGCTGCCGTGGATGATGATCTGGGGACACGGCCGGCGAAGACAGCTCAGGCCCAGCCAAGCTGGGCCCACCCTGTACCCTACTGCCTTGCCCAGGCGACACTCCTGGGTGGGACTGGGTCAATGGGGCTGACACAGACTCAGGGTCTGGGGTCTGAAATCTTGATCTTCTGCCCCACTCCTCTGCCTCCCATCACTGGTGCTCCCCCCACCTCCCACCCCCACCCCCGCCCCATGGCCTGGCTCTGTCCAGAAAAGCCCCTCACCAGGATGTAGAGCAGGATGTAGAGGTGGTGGGTGAGCCAGAAGCCCCGGAAGCTGCGGCGGCGGAAGTGATGAGAGGCGAAGACGTACATGATGGCCAGCACCAGGAGCAGGAGCACCCCCGTCATGCCTGGGGGCAGGGGGCGGGGCGGGAGGACAGAGTCAGCAAGGAGGACCTCCGAGTGAGTTGAAAATCCCCTCCGTTTGCCCACTGCTCAGCAGGTGGTAGAGCTGGACTTCGTTTTAAAATGGAAGTCCTCAACCCCTATAGACAAGCCCGCCTTCCCAGGAGGTGCCGAGGTCCTCGGACGGACAGAGTCCCCCTCCAGATCACCATCGCCTACCTGGAACCGTCTGGAAGAACCACCAGTAGAACTTCTGGGGAAGCAGGGACCTGGGAGTCAAAGGCACTCTGAGCCTCTGGCGTGGGCAGGAGAGGCTCCCTCGCCTCCACCCAGCACCACAACTCGGTTCCGCTAGCCCGGGGTTCTGCTGGGGAGGCTGGGGTCCCCAAGCTCCATCCTCCACTCAGACGGCCAGCGGCCCTTCCAGCCTCCTGCAAGCGCATGTCTCCTCCCACGCTACCCTGACCTCCTTGACCACTGGGACCAGTGTTCTGGCAGATTGTGTTTTGCTCACTGCTGTGTGCCTGTGCCTAGAATCATGCCAGGCACCTAGGAAATGCTCAGTTGGCAGACTTGGCCCAGTGGCTGACTTGGCAATCCTCTTCTTGGACACCTGGCTGCTATGTCGGATGTGTTCCCTCAACATGTGTCAGCACACCTGGGGAGAGTCTCTAACTTCATCTCCCAATGCCCTTTGCTGGCAAAGCACTGCCGGCTCTCATCCTCAAAGCCTACCTGGACATCTCTTCTTAGCTTCCCGAAACGAGGCTTCTCCCCATAGCTCAGGGAGGAGCTGGCTTTCTAGGGCTGACTTTTCCCTGCTCATTAGCCTCTCAAGTCCACTCCCAGGTGCCCCCCAAGAGAGCCTTCACGGAACTGACCCATCATTGACAAAGACGATGGGGAAGATGCAGGCGAGCAGGCTGAGGGGGCTGACCGAGAAGATGTAGACATTGACCACGTGGCCAGCACTGTGCAAGACTGAGAGAGATGTCGCCGGTTAGAGGGGCCACCCAGGAACCGCTCTACCTCCAATCCAGCGCAGAGCCCGGGGCTAGACCTAGCAGAGGCCATGGTGGGGAGGGTGCCCGGGAACCACGTACTGGCCAGGACAACAGCCGCCATGGCGATCCACCGGTGGAAGTCCACGGCGGCGTCAAAGGGCACGTAGCGGTTGAGGAAGGTCTCCCGCAGGAAGGTGATGAGGTTGCGGCACATGGTGAGCAGGATGTAGGAGAACATGAAGGAGATGCTGGCCGCCGAGCCCCGCGACAGGATGATGCCCACAAAGGTGGTCTCGGATATGCCCGAAGATGGCGAGGTGAAGGCGTAGTCTGGGGAGGGCGAGAGGAGGGGTGGGCGAGGCACCAGCGGTGGGCTCCGGGCTGGCCCTGGGCGGTGCCTTGGGTTTCCCACCTGGATGCCCGGCCCGCGCCCGGCGCTCTTACAGTAAGCCCGCTCTGCGAACAGGCCCGCGCAGACGGCCGAGAAGACGGCGACGCACACGATGTGCCGCAGGTAGTTCTCCACGAAGCGCTTGTACTGCTGCAGCTTCTGGGCTAGCAGGCCCCGCTGCATCCTCTCCCGCAGCGCCTCCGTGTACAGTCTGGGAGGGGGCCCCGCCGGCCTGCTGTGGGGGAGGCAGGGTGGCTGTGAGGTCAGGGCACTCTGGCCTCCCCCATAGGACCCCCGGCAGAGGTCACATTGGGCCCTCAAAGGAAGAGCACCAAACACTGAGGAGCAGACTCTCCCACCCACCCTCTTCCCTCCTCTGGTCCACCCTGCCTCCCGCCCTGCGCCCTGCCCCAGCCTGACCCATCTACTCGAAGCAGGCAGAAGTCAGGACACCCCTCACTATCCTCTTGGTGTTACTTCAAAGCACAAGGCGAAAGAATGGGGTGCAAAATACTGAATGTAAAGCAATGGCCTGCTCGGCAAACCCCGACCAATTCACAAAACGTAGAGAGCCACGAGATAAGGAGACGGAAGGAAAGGTCGAACTGAAGGCAGAGACTGAAGAGCACTTTGACTGTCTTCCACCCACCCCCACCACCCCTACCCCCCAAACACACACACCAGGCCAGGGACAAATAGGAGACTCCGATGGTCCCTTGGGTGGCAAGGCGTAACCCTGAGACCCTGCCCCAATCTCCCTAGGCCCAGGAATCTGGGAAACACTCACTTTTTGCCAAACCTCTTCTTCAGCCCAGAGCCTCCTAGCTCAGGAGCTTCTAAGGCAGGAAGGCCCAGTCCGTTGGCATAGGAGCTGAGAGAAGGAGGGGGAGGGGGGGAAGACAGCAGAGCCCAGTGACTGCATATACTTTGAACTTGTGGTTTAACTCAACGCTGGCCTAGAGGGGCAAGGAGCCAGCAAGCTCCTGGGTGGCCTGGGGTATGTGAGGCAGCTGGAATGGGGGCTAGGACTACTTCCCCATAGCAACTGTCTGCCTTCTGGGGCTGACACAGCAGCCCCACACCCTGCATTTCTCTGTAGGGGACCTCCTAACGCCCCATGTCTGCTCACCTTTCCTTGGGCGTCCGAGAGATAAATGAGACTCGGGAGTTGATGTTTTGTTTCAAAATGTCTCGGACACCTGCGGAGGAGAACAAGAAGCTAGACAGGCTTCCCCACAGGGCAGTTGGGGTAAGGGCCGAGACCAGGGCTTTCCCTACCCCACCAGGAAGACTTCTGGGCCCCTACCAGTGACTGGCCTGTTCCCCCTCGCTCCCCACTCTGAGTACGCCCCACTACACAGGGTGGCCACTGCTAGATAACTTGCGAAAAGTAGAAAGGGGCCCCCCTTCTGGGGGCGGCCCCCCTACAGGGTCATGAACCCCGACTTGGTGTCAAGAAGATAGCATTCTTCCTCCAGGTAGATACAGCCCACACCGGTTAGTGGCCGAGTCTTGGTGAGCAGCAAGCAGGCAGAATTTCAGGTCACCCCTGACCCTACTGTTGACAGCTTAGTGCAGTGCACAGATTGCACATTGGTATGTGACAACGGAGGGCACGGGCACGGCTCCGCGCCGGGCACTGAGGACCGGTTGAAGGGAAGCTCTGGGTCCTGTTCACCGAAGCCACTCCCCCTATTCCTTCCTTGCATAGCCACACACCTCCACCTCCACCTTTGACGCAGAGCTGCGTGTGGCGAAGCTCGCTGTCATGGTCCCTCAGCATGAAGTGGAAGTCCTCCCACGTCAGCTCCTCCTTGTCCTCGAAGCCTGCCTCCCGGAACATGGACTCCACCACCTCGGCCAGCTGGGCCTTGGTCAGGCAGTTGTTGGAGATCTCGATGAAGGAGCTGGGGTTGGGGTTGGGGAGGGAGGGGGAGGGAGGACCACAGACAGAGCAGCCTGTCACCAGGCTGGGCCAGGCTTGGGCGGATGCAGGGTGGGGCAGGGCCAGATGAGCTCATGTGGCTCCCAGTGACCCGGGAAGTGGCACCGAGAAGGTGCTCACCTGGCCCGCAGATGACACTAAGCTGGGTGCGGTGGCCACAAGCTCAGGAGGTAGAAGAGAATTGAAAGTGACCTTGAGCAGTGGGAGAAAGCAGCCCGTAGACCTGGGAGACTGCCGCCCAGCTGGGATGTGTCCAGGGCACATGCTTGTTGGGGCAGGCTGTCTGCCCACTTTCCTCCGTGGGCCCTGGCGCACGTTAGGCCCCTAGACCCCCATTTGCTCAGTGAAGCTGGAGCACAAGGCAGTGAGAGTGGCGAGGAGCTGGAGCTACTGCACTGCCCACTGCTTCCTTGTGCCAGCATCTTGCCAGGCAGCCGGAAGTGTCTCCACACCCAGACTGACTGTGGCCACACGTTTCTTGGGCTGTACTTGGGGAAAAAAGCAAACAGGCCGTACCCATGGGGACAAGCCCAGCAGGAAAAGACCCAGCCCGCCCGGCACGGCCACCACTGCCGTCACCTGCCAGAAAAGCATCCCTCTGTGTGACAGGACCTGGGGGTGGGCACTCAGCCTTTGGTGGCAGGGATCCTCTCCCAGATTCCCTAGAGCCCTGCCCAAGGCTGAGCCTGCAGCGACACACCCAAGTGGCTATTGACTGCCATCAGTTTTATCCAAGCCCCTTCAGAAGACCCTTTTCTAATGATGAATAATAAATAAATAAATATAACCACCAAAAAAAATAGGAGGGAAGAGGCGGAAAAAAAGAGTTGATACCAAGGGCTCAAGTGGAAAGAAAATGTTTTGGAAACGTTGATGGCAACCTATGTACAAGTGTGCATAATACAACTGAATGATGGGTTGTCATAAGATTTGTCAGACCCACCCCCCACTAAAATTATTAATAATAAGAAGAAAGAACCAGAAGCCCCTGTCCAGTGTGGTCCTTGGACGCTAAGAGGGATGCATAAGGCAGTGAAAAATGGCGCAAAGGGACAGGTGAGTTCGGTCCATTCACTCATCCACTTCCTTTTATCTCACTCAGGGACCACGTGTTGGACGCCTCTATGTCCCATGCACAGGGCATAGGGGATGGGTTCAGCGGGGAGCAAAGGGATGTGAACCTTTGTGGCTGGGCACTGATTTCAACAACACAGAACCTGATGCTCAGTGCTGGCCTTTACCGGCACACCAGAAACAGAAATGGCTTAAGATGAAGGAAGAACAAGTTGGAATGGAAAGGAGCTTCCATGTTGTTACTCCCAATTGCATGCCATGTGATACGTGTTAGAAGAATCCATCCATCCATCCATCCATCCATCCATCCATCCATCCATCCATCCTTTTACTAAGTGTGTGTCAGACACAGTGTTAGGAGAGCTGGATTTTGTAAACAGTTTGTTTTCAAGGATCCAAAGGCACCCAAAATGTCAGAAAGCATCATTGGGTTTTGGTGGCATTTGTCTTGTTTTATAAACCCTCCTAGAATCCCAGGCCTGGCAGGTAAACTTTTGGAACCGGGCACCCCGAGAGACGTACACTCTGCCTGGACCCCTGCCTCTCACAGCAGATAGCCACCTTGCCTGCCCCCCTCTGGCCTGACCTGTGTTCCTATTTAAAACATCGGGAAGTTGCAGGCATGGCCCACCCCACACCCCGTACCCCATCATGGTGAAGAATTCTTGCTTGGAGAGAAAGCCGTTCTCATCAAGGTCATACATGGTGAACATCAGGCGGGACTTATCCTCAGGGGAGCCTGGGTAGAGAAAGGTGTCTATCAGCTAGCTCCCTGCTGAAAGACATCCAGGGCCTTGGATGAGGCTTACCACCCCACTGGTACCCACCTTTCATGAAGACCACCAGGATGTCCAGGAACTCCCGGAAGGACAGGTACCCGTTGCCATCCTTGTCGGCCAGAGAGAACATGGACTCCACAAACATGTCCTGAGGCTTGAGGCCCAGAGACTCGGCAAACTCGGCCCTGCTCAGCTCGCACGACAGGGCCTCCCGCACCTTCTGTGAGGAGTCCAGGGGCAGGGACCCTGCATCTGCCTGGTTAATGTCCAGCACCTGCACTTGGGCAGCGGCCGGGAGGGAGAAGGGGAGAAGGAGCAGAAGCCCAGTCTGGAAGCAGTTCAGTGACACCGCCCCCTCCCCTTCTCATCTCCCCAAAATCCAATCAGAAAGGTCGAGCCCTGGTAGCTCCTTGGTCCTCAGACAGACTTCTGGCTCAGGCATCGACTCTCCAGCAGAAGGGGTGAATCAAGCCTCTTGTAACCAGCCTTTTCTGCGCCCCTACCCCAACCCATCAGCAATGTTATATAGGGAGTGAGATAGTTTATTGTGCCAGCCTGGCTGATAAACACAAGTGGGATTAACTGAAGGGCAGAGAGATAAATGGCTTGGTGAGCCTCGCCTTACTTGTCTCTCGCTCTGTGATCATCAGACCAGTGTGCGGCTGCCTTGCTTGTTCTGTGCCTCAATTTAAAGGCTACACTACCTGTGGGACGCCTAGCCTGTGGACTGTGTCACTGTAAGTTGAGGTCCCTTTAAGACATCTCTGGAGCTGGGGACTGGCAGTTGGTGACCTGCCTTGTGATTGGCTGCTGTGCTGACATAGCCTAGCTCTCTCTACAAATAGAGGAAGATCTGGCAGCAGACTAGACTTGAAGGACTGCTAGTCTCTCACAACTCTCTCGTGAGTTGCACTGAGCCATTTGTAGTGCTTTATAATTTAACTGTTTATTTCTTGTATTATATATTTATCTGTATATGATTTAACAGTTCATTTCTTGTTATATATCTAATTATCTTTATAAATAAATATATTGAATTATCAGCAATTTGGTTTTATCTCTCTAGAGAACCCTGTCTAACACAGGGAGTCTGGGAGCGGGGTGAGAGGGGGTGGGGGGTGGGCCAAGTGTGAACATGTAAAGTAAGAGAGAAAAAGACACAGTAGACACAGGTGGACCAGCAGGAAGAGGCTAAGGACATGCTCATGTTGAGGCGAATAAGGGTGCCCTGTGCCTAGAATTTGGTCATGGCTTGTTCGTATAAATGGAAAAAGCCGTACACTTGTCCAATGCCTACAAGGAACTGAAGCTAAGCCCTGTACGTAGCTCCGTGTTTTTCTATCAGGTTCCCAGGTGAGGCTGAGGCTGCGGGGACCAGACACCACTGGCATCGGGGATGGTCTTAATGAGTCCACCCACCCAATAGGGTGGAAACTGTCTGAATCATGGTTTTCTAGACAAGGAAACAATGGAGGCACAAAGCAGAGATGTGACTGGTGACTCCTCAGTGACTAAGCACAAGAGAGCACAGAGATAAGTTTGTCCCCCATGGGGTCGGTCCATGGCGCCAGATGGACCACAGGCTCCTAAGGCCCGGGTCATGGTACCTGGGCAAAAAGGTGCCGGAAGAATATCTCAAGGATGCGTCCCCGCTGCTGCTTGGTCACCGCCTTCCTGAACAGCTCCTTCTCGTCTACCGCGGCCATGTGGATGTCCAAGCCCCAGCTGCGGCAGGAGTCCCGCAGGTGCTGCACAAAGGTGGCCCGCTCCGCCTCACAGTTGAACAGCAGCACCTGGGTGAGAGCAGGGTCGCACTGATGCTGAGAACAAGAGCTTCACATTCTGCCTCCCCTGGGGCTAGCATTGAGGAAAGGAAGGAAAGACTGCCCCCCACCCCACCCTTTCAGGATGGGTCCAGTGTCTGCAGGGAGTCTCTCTCCCCAGCTTCCACAGGGTTCCTCTGCAGCGGAGGAGAGAGTAGCCTGCGAGGACTTCCCAGGCTGGGGTGATGTGGAAGCCAGGCGGCCTCACCAGGTCATACTCCTTGGGGATCTTGAGCAGCAGGGCGCGGCACCCACGGTCGCTGGACAGGATGAGGTTGACCTGCTGAGCGGGCCGTAGCTGGATGATGCGGAGCACGACGAGCTGCCTGTCCAGGACCTGCAGACCCCTGTCTGCGACGAGCTGGATGATGATGGGATAGCTCTTCTCCTTGGGGCCCGGCCACTCCATCGCTGGAGGAGAGGCAATGGCACAGAGTGATCCGATAAGGTTCCCGGGCTTGCCCTCTACCAGGGCCAGCGGGGACCTCGAAGCCTGACTTTCCCCTGAATCTGCAACCTGGTTCTTTCTCCTAGGGGCTCCCCCAAGCCCCCCACCGGCCCTCTTCCTCCCCTCAGCCCTGGCTCACCTGGCACCCCATCCTTGGCCGAGTTCTTCCGCATGCTCTCTTTGCCTTTCTTCAGTAGCTTCTTGCGCTCTCGGCCCCGGAAATAGGCCACCACGGCCGCGATGAGTAGACTCACTGAAGGGGATCAGAGGAGCCCGTGGGGAGGGCCTTGCCTGCAGCTTCACTGGCCCTTTGGCTGCCTCCCCTCCCTTCCCAAGACCCTTGAGCCTGGCCTCAAGCCGTGCCAAGGTACCAAGGACCTTGCCCTGCAGGACAACGGGACTAGCTGTGGGGAGCAGGGAGGCCCCGAGAGGGACGATGGGGTGAGGGTAAAGGGCTCACCTAAGGGAAGCAAGCAGAGAGCTACAAGGGTGATTCCAAATCCAGGACCGCTGCCCTCAAAGTAGTCCACCACGGTCAGGGGCACACAGGCGGGCAGGCCTCTGGTCGTGAGCTGCTCGGGCTGAGGGCAGGGTGCACCTGAGGAGACCTAAACCTCAAAACCCAAGAACACATTCCTCGGCCAAGCAGCCGTCCCTGTAGTCTTATAAAGGCCCAAGCTGTCCTCTTCCCAACCCCGGTCGACTGCCCCGAAACGTGTTTCCCTTAAAACGCCCCTTCCACATTACACATCCCCGGAGACATCAACAACGCCACGGAATTGTGCATGCAGAACGTGTAGAAAGTGATCGATCCTCTACTGGGTAATGTTGCACAACAGGGTTCTGAACTGTTTTCAATTCCGATCCATTCTTTGCCCCTCAGCATCCACCGCACTTGACCACAAGGCGAAAGCCAGAGGCCGGGCTGCGCCAGGCCTTACTGGGGGAGTGGCCCCATGGGGCTTCCGCCCCAGCCCCGAGGGGGCCCTCTTCCTCTTCGCCTTTCCTCTGGCCACGTCACAGTGTTTTCCCTGGATGCTCACCCTCGTGCCAGACGAAGACGCTGGGCTGCAAGGCGCTGGGGTCCACGTTGGTGACCGCCACTAGCACGTCCCGCAGGGTGGTGTTCCTGATCTCGGCAATCTCCTCCTCGGAGAACAGCCTGTGTTGGGGGAGGATGAGACGTGGCTGGAATCAGGACTCTCCAGCAGCCTCAGGCTCAAGGACTCAGACCAGGAAAGAGACACAGAGGGGTTGGGGCTCATGGGGGCTGCCTGGGGCCAGAGAGAGAGGGTCTTGTGCCCAGGCTGAGGCAGAAGCTGAGGCAGGGGCAGGGGCTGGGGGGGGGGGGCGCAGGCTGGCCTTACCCATTCCTGGTATTCTCAAACCAGTAGCGGTCGCCGTCCCGCAGTCGCACAAACTGGTCCAGGACAATGGCAGTGAAGAGGGGTCCGGGCCCCCCGTGGCTCTCCAGGAGCCCCCCTGGGAGCAGCTCCAGCCGGGACAGGTCCTGATTATAGAGCGCGGCTGTGGCCTCCAGCACCTGGGCCAGCAGAGGAGGTGAGGAGACTGTGCCCTGGAAGGCAGCCACTGCTGTCCCAGCCTTTACATGTAGGGCCCCTACCCGGTTGCTCTGTCCTGGCTTGGGGGCGTGGGCATGGGGGGGAGGCCGCCTCCTCTTCATCTTCCTAAGCAGTTTGTCCATCTAGCAGGAGCTAGCCATTGAGGGGGTGGTGGGGATCTGTGTCCCCGCCCATGGTGAGGCAGGTGTCCAAGGACCTAGCCTGTGGTCTTTGCTACACGGCCTGCCCAATTCCTGCGAGCAGTTTCAGGGACACCCTCCCCACGGGAAGGAACACTGCAAGACTGAGAGCATTGCACGCAACCAAGAAGACACCCTTTCGAAGAGGTACGATGTAGTAGCTAAGAACATACGCTGGAGTCAGGTGACCTGAGTTTAAAGCCAGCCTCTAGGATTGACTGGCTACTTTGTCCCTAAAACAGGGATAATGATAGTAGCTGTGAGAGCTGGGGCTCCAAGAACTGCCCCACCCCCAGACCCAGACCTCAGGTTTCCCACTGTGGACTGGAACAGTGGGATGCTTTTCTGTCGCTTGTTTTAGTGGGGCTTGTTTTAGTAGTGCTCCTCCCGTAGCAGGTGTCGGCTTTCTCGGGTTTTATTGTGTCTACTTTATTACATGCATGTATACAGTAGGGATCCCTGTGTAGCGGGTACATGGTGGGCTGCTAACCTCAAGGTCGCCAGTTCAAAACCACCAGCCACTCCATGGGAGAAAGATGGGGCTTTCTATTCCCCTAAAGAGTTCCAGTCCTGGAGCCTCACAGGGCCAGTTCTGTCCTGTCCAATAGAGTCACTATGAGTCCACCTCCACTCGATGGCAGTGAGCTTGGTTTTTGCTTGTCTGTCTGTCTATTTGATCACACAGTGGTCAAGACCTCAGTTGCTAAACAAAAGGCCCATGGTCAAACATACCCACCACTGTGCATGAGCAAGACGAGGCCGTCGGCCTCCAGAAAGATTACGACCTTGGGAACTACATGGGACTCCTCTGCTCTGTCCTACGGGACCACCGAGTCAGAATGACACCTGGCCCCAGGGAACAGATGAAAGGAGTTGGTCTATGAACAGGCCCGGGCCCATCTCCACTCCAGGAACACGTTAGCCGTTATTCTCCTGCGACTCCATTACTCATGCTGACCTGGGGCTCCACGTGGGGACTGAGCTCACTCCAGTTGTTCGGGGTGTTTAAGCCGAAGGCCATCAGAGCCTGGTTATAGCTGGGCAGCCCCATGTCTCTGCCCCGCTGGATGCTGCTGGCCACATAGTCTGTGCGAGAGAACTTGCCAGGGCCAGGCCAGTAATCTAAGGAAAAGAAAAGGCTAATGGTAGCTTCTGCCCCCAACCCTTCCTCATCTGGGGCTTTTGACACCGTCTCCACCACTACCCCACTCAGAGCTCCTCTAGGTACTGTCCTGGCAATGGCCTCGATGTAGGGCCAGTGTCACCATGTGTGATCAGGGACAATTTCCCTGGCCGGACTTTTCCCCTAAAAACTCACTCACTCACTCAGAGACATAAGTAATTTATAATCAAAACAACACTAGATAGTAAATTATGTTTTAAAAAGTTTGAAAGTCCTTTTCTCCTAATGGCTATTTGAAGTGTGTGTGTGTGTGTGTGTGTGTGTGTGTACACTGCAGATGGCCCCGGTTTGCGGGTGATGGACTGAGAAGGGTCTCCAGGCCCCAATCCTTGGGACTCAGTACTCACCGTGTGTGTGTGTGTGTGTGTGTGTGTGTGTGTGTGTGTGC